GTGACATCATCAGGTATTGTACTTTTACTTTGATCTCATGTAAATGAGCCACCAATTAAAGAGTGATGTCCAATCAAACTCATAGACAAGGTTTCCTCTGAATTCAGTGATTAATAACCTACAGTTGAAAAAGCTGTGAGTACTGTAAATTCCTGTTTCTGAGACTAAGGTATAATTGGTCAAACGGGCAAAGCTGTAAATTTAATATGATTATTTGATGTCTTTGCTAATTACTGAATATCTTACTAGAGGATGTAACAATCTTACTGTCTTGTTTACAATATGGGTATTGACTGAAATAGAATCTCTACTGACTTTGATGTCTTGACATCAGTAATTGAAAGTAATTGAATAATTAATGATGACATCATGAAAGGAATTAAAATATGTCATTTGCTTGTAAATACTTGATAATATTGTAAAGGTAAAAATTGTCTGTTTACATGAAGTAATGTTTTTGTAGACATTCTAATACAAATAAGTAGGATAATGGATTGCAATTTATTTTGGTTTTGCATTTTTCTTCAAATTGCATCGGCAATTTTAAAACTTAATTTAACATCTTGTTTTGATCAACCATTTGACAATATTGACTTTGGAGCATTCACAATAGATTACTCAACTTTAAATTATGTTTTAGGTTTTGTAGTCAAGGGCTAATTTATATTTATTCCTAAGTTATGTTGGGGGACACAAATAATATTTTAATTTCAAACATACAAAATAGAAAAGAGTTAGGGAAACAAACTGGAGCTTATGTTTTTATCTCAACTGTTACCCAAATCTATATATAGAAAAGTTCCTTAGAGCTGTCTTGATGAGGATGCTATATCCAAAATGTCAAATAGAGTAGGTCAGCTTAGTGTTTGAAAAATTTATCATAAAAGAACTCTTGTGGTGAATATTAAGATCAGATGATTCAAGTTATTTTTGGTTCCAGTGTAATAAGCTACAGTAGGAATCCTGCAGGATATTGTTTGGCGCCACTGTTATTTTCCCTATAAGGAAATGACTGTCTGGAATTAGAATTAAAGATTAAAAGGACAAAGTCTTTGAGTAAAAATATAAAAGTATATCAAGCTAGTTGTTTTTAGGCCTTGAACTATCGACTCAATTGAAATAAAAATCACCAATTAAATGTGCAATATATATTCCCTCAGAGTCCTATGAAAATTAAAAGAAATATGAAGAAAAACTGATATTTTGACCAGTATTTTTGTTGCATTTAGATAACCCAGACTACCCAATTTGTATTATTTTGATAAGAAATGATAGTCTTGACTAAATAGACTATTTTAAGTTTTATTCACTATGTTGACAATTGTTTTGATTGCTTACACAGTAACTGTTTATAATACAGTGGTGGCAACATCCTCATAAAAATTAGGAGTAATGTTAGGGGGCAGACAATTGTCAAGGTTGAGATTCAAAATATAGCAATTGTGTTCAAGTTACATAGCCGCAAGCATTCCCATGGAGGTTCTCAATAAGAACAACCAGATCTAAATGGGTTAAGTACTTTATAAAAAGTAAAACTTTTTATTATAGATGTGTGCAATATATCACAGAGTATCTTAAATTGACAAGTCATTATTTAACATTCAAACGCGGATAATTCAAACATACATGGATTTGAAGGTTCAAATTTCGACAGTAAGCTGTGAAAAATATAACTAATTGGCTTAGCTCGTTTCTGAGACTGATGTACGATTGGTCAAATAAAATGTCTCATCTGTCCCTTTAAGATTATTAAGAATGATAATGACCTTTTACCACCATAGATTTGAGTATTTCCAAGATCCTATCTAAATGGGATGGCAACTTTAACTTTGATAATTAATGAACTATCATTGTTAATTAGTATGCTGGGTGTGAATTTCCAAAATAGGCCTTTACTTCTATTCACTTCATGAACATTATTCAAGCAGTTTTTATTCACCCCTTATACCTCACATTGTACATGTCCTTGGTCAGTTTTTTTGGAAGTAGAAATCAGCAATTTGTACTTCAGAAAAACAACTTATTTAATTGACATAAACTTTGAAAGAATTTGATCATGGCCCATTCAGATAAATCCAAACAACTGATGAAAGGAAAAATAAAAATTGAAATGACAGATTAACAAAAGAAAAGTTGATGAAATGTGAGAAATAACTATCCAGTTTGAAATCTGTATCATAAGCTAAAGGTAGGCCAGGTGGTTCTAAGTCTGAGTTGAAGAGAAATTATAGATAAAATGGAATGGATGAAATGAAAGGAATTTTAAGACCTACTTTTAGACTGCATTTGTTTCGGCTAATGAAGACAAGCTATGACCATGCAGTGTGGAATGAGATAAATTTGCCAGGATAACAGCATTATCCTACTCCAGCTGTCAACAGATCTGTAACATGCATAGCCTATAGCAGCCTCAATTTATTGTCTTGTAACACCAGATGCTTTTTCCATATAAGCCTCTCTTACCTGCATCATTGACAGAGGGAAACATAGGTAAAAATTCAAATGGTATTATCTCTACCTATGCTGCACCTCACAGAAAGAAAGATGGCTGTCTAACTAGCTCAATGACAGATTACAAATAATTTACTATCTAGCATGTTGAACATGATTTGAACATGTAATAATGTATTTGTACATCGTTTAGATTGAATTAACAAACAAGCCAACTCGTTAACATAATGTTTATGATATATTTAATCATTTGTTTTGTAACAGAGTCAAGATTAATTGTTCAGATAAACTGTTCAAAGTGAATCAAACTGTAGCCAAAGTTTTCACATGTCATATTACAAAAGTGAACATTTTGTTTCCCTTATTGTATTATATATAAGTGAATGTCTATGTAAAACTGTGTTCACAAGATGTTCAGATAAAATCAAACAAACCAATGAATTTGTTCAGATCATGAGAGTGTCATATTGCTATACTTTACAAGAGACTTTTCTTCTCCTGGGAGAGGCAATGTTATGCAATGAGGGAATAATACTAAAGCATTGATCTTTTATGGAAATATGTTAATACAATCAAGCAAGTGCCAAGGGTTCTTCACACAATGTTACTTGGTTATGGTGGTCCTGGGGTCTAATCTCTCCCTGTACAAAAGCCTGTTGACCTTGAATAAGCCATCTTTTCTCATTATTCTTGATGACCCAGCTGTAAATGGATACTACAAGGAGGTTTGACCAAAGACCATTTGGTAGAATGGATCCTAGTGATCCTCCAGCGTTATCCTTGTTTCTTTCTTTCACTGAACTAGTTATCCACTAGAAGTAGAAATGTTAGATATTGTCATAGCTCTTCCAGATATCAGGTTCATTTTGTTTGTAAGCCATCAAGATAAGAGAAATGTAATGTAATATCTAAACCCTGATAGCCCAGTACCATATGGTTGAATAATCACTGGTAATATGACCCAAATATATCTCTATCTTCTGAACTTGTTTTATATCAGAAGGAATATAACAGTAAAATGTAAAATTTCGTTTTTAGTAGATAGTCAAATAAGGTACAGAAGCCTAAGATTTAAAATGTTATGAATTAAGGTTTAATATGACCTACACTTAAAATAAGTTGAGAACTGTATATCATCTAATAGCTGTGGGTACAATCAAATTATATCTCTTACTCCTAATTAACTAGAGTGTCTGGAAATACTTGGCTACTGTTTTAGATTCCAGAAAACTTAATAATCATGATTTCAAACTGTATCTTAATCTAGCCACCTTTATTGTATCATGAAAGTCAATAAATGCAGCATTTAGATTACAGCCAATCATAGCTCCAGATTACCTGTACAGAAAAAATTGTTTACTATCTTTTTGTGGAGACCTAATTGGCTATATTCGCTAGCATACAATCCAATTGAATCACTGCATTTACAAACTTCTGTGACACAAGAATAGTGCCATATGATGCCAAGGTATAATATTTTCACCTCTGTGTTTTGCTGTCAGCATCCTTTTCAGAGAGTTCTCATAGCTAATACTGTATTTTTATTATGCAACCTTTTGGTGCCCTAGGTCAACTCGTTCTATGAAGAGATTTGTCCAATTCACAGAAATCTGTAAACAAAAGCAACCAAATGGTTGGTCATACAAGGCAATGAGTGTCTCAGGACAAGTGCTTGAGCAAAAGAGTGTCTCAAAAACTTTTTTAGTTTATTGTCAATCGTCAGATTTGTAGGGTCCTTTTTCTATAGCTCTTCAAGTCCATGACTTGTCTACCTTACAGAAATTTATATTGGAGCATTTTATTGAATGCTTTCATCCGATGGTAAGTCTCAAGTCTATTGATAGACTTGTTTTATAAGTTGACCCTATCAATGGCTCGGCAGCCTTCCCGAAATTTGTTTCTATTTAATTTTAAGCCTCTTACCGGACAAACTAGACTTAAACCTGCCAAGAAATCTCTACGATATATCATTTGGTTGGAGGTTATATAAAACCTGATTAAACAGTTAATAAACTGTCTAGGTATTGACGTAAACCAAACACCATCTTTCAATACAAACCAAATACCACCTTTATCTCTTCTTCCCGTCTGCTACTCGGCTATTTTTGGAATTGTGCTACTTTGTAGTCTTGAAGAATTTATAAACTATTCATATAAAATGATAATTATAGTGGTAGTCCAAAGATATGACCAATGCTTTGAGTCTCAGCCAACAGCCAATCAGATTCTTTTGATTTCTGACATATAGGAATCACAGAGTATGTTATTCGTCTGCTTTTAAAGTATAATGTTCTTTGCCTATTTTGCTCACTTTGTTGAATTGTGAAATACAGGTCTTATCTCTATGATGAATTAAACTTCCCTATCTGCTGTTTTGATAATGAATGTCTAAACTTGACACATTCTTCATCTGGTTGATCATTACTTCCTGTTATGATTTCCATGGATGGCAGCCATTTTGATGTTCCGTTACAAAAAATGAGCATCAAAATCCACATTTTTTTGCTAATGAAATTCAGTTTGAAAGAGGATGTTTATTGATGCCTAATTCATTCACACATTGACTGTGCTCTTAATTCGCACATTGACTGTGTTCTTAATTCGCACATTGACTGTGTTCTTAATTCGAACATTGACTGTGCTCTTAATTCACACATTGTCTGTGTTCTTAATTCACACATTGACTGAGTTCTTAATTCGCACATTGACTGTGTTCTTAATTCACACATTGTCTGTATTCTTAATTCGCACATTGACTGTGTTCTTAATTCGCACATTGACTGTATTCTTAATTCACGCATTGACTGTGTTCTTAATTCACACATTGTCTGTGTTCTTAATTCACACGTTGACTGTGTTCTTAATTCACACATTGTCTGTGTTCTTAATTCGCACATTGACTGTGTTCTTAATTCGCACATTGACTGTGCTCTTAATTCACACATTGTCTGTATTCTTAATTCACACATTGACTGTGCTCTTAATTCGCACATTGACTGTGTTCTTAATTCACACGTTGACTGTGTTCTTAATTCACACATTGTCTGTATTCTTAATTCACACATTGACTGTGCTCTTAATTCGCACATTGACTGTGTTCTTAATTTATGGATTGACTGTGTTCTTAATTCACACTTTGTCTGTGTTCTTAATTTGCACATTGACTGTGTTCTTAATTCGCACATTGACTGTGCTCTTAATTCACACATTGACTGTGTTCTTAATTCACACATTGTCTGTATTCTTAATTCACACATTGACTGAGTTCTTAATTCGCACATTGACTGTGTTCTTAATTCACACATTGTCTGTGTTCTTAATTCGCACATTGACTGTGTTCTTAATTCACGCATTGACTGTGTTCTTAATTCACGTACCGGTATTGATAATATCATTCATTCATCCATTCAATGGTTCTTTCATTCATTCACTCGTTCATTCAATCATTCACTTGTTCATTCATTCATTCACTTGTTCATTCATTCCTTCACTTGTTCCTTCATTCCTTCACTTGTTCCTTCATTCCTTCACTTGCTCCTTCATTCCTTCACTTGTTCCTTCATTCCTTCACTTGTTCCTTCATTCCTTCACTTGTTCCTTCATTCCTTCACTTGTTCCTTCATTCCTTCACTTGTTCCTTCATTCCTTCACTTGTTCTTTCATTCCTTCACTTGTTCTTTCATTCCTTCACTTGTTCTTTCATTCCTTCACTTGTCCTTCATTCATTCACTTGTTCCTTCATTCCTTCACTTGTTCCTTCATTCCTTCACTTGTTCATTCATTCCTTCATTCCTTCACTTGTTCTTTCATTCCTTCACTTGTTCTTTCATTCCTTCACTTGTTCTTTCATTCCTTCACTTGTTCATTCACTTGTTCTTAATTCCCGCATTGATAATATCATTCATTCATCCATTCATTGGTTCATTCATTCATTCACTTGTTCATTCATTCACTTGTTCCTTTTTTCATTCCTTAACTTGTTCCTTCATTCCTTTACTTGTTCATTCAATTATTCACTGGCTCGCTCACTTACCAGATAATGTTGAAAGGAAGAAATTGAAACTCTATTACATTCCATTCATTCTCTGTCAATGTAGCCAATTTCAATTATAGTTCTTCTCCTTCCTCATCTTGAATCAATTCCATCAAATGTCATTTCTGTTATGATATTGATTATTGTTGTCTACCAACCTCTGACCTTTAGTAGCTTTGATCTTCCAGTATTGTTGATATTCATGAACCAAGTGACTTCCACAAAATGGACCTGCCTTTGGTAGGAATGTTTTTAGGAATAGCCATGAAACTTGGCTCTTTGACAAGCTTTTGAATCAATTCCCTCCAAAATCTGTTATATTGTCAATAGTTTAGGGAAATGGAATTGTTGTCTGCAGGACAGTCAATAGAGAGTATTATTTTCGTGTACTGGGGTAGCTGAGTCAGTAGCCAAATGGATTGTTGTCTGCTAGGGCAGTGAAATAGCTCAGTCAAAAGCCTGTTAGATTTTCCTCTGCTAGTGTAATGAGATAGCTCAGTAGCCAAACTCTGTCAGTAGCAAGATGGATTGTTGTCTCTATTGTAGTGGGATAGCTCAGTCAGTAGTGAGTTGGATTGTGGTCTGCTAGTATAATGGGATAGCTCTCAGTAGCCAGTTGGATTATAGTCTGCTAGATTTGTGGGAAACCTCAGTCAGTTGCAAGTTCGATTGTGGTCTGCTAGGATAATGGGATAGCTCTCAGTAGCCAGTTGGATTATAGTCTTCTAGATTTGTGGGAAACCTCAGTCAGTAGTGAGTTGGATTGTGGTCTGCTAGTATAATGGGATAGCTCTCAGTAGCCAGTTGGATTACAGTCTGCTAGATTTGTGGGAAACCTCAGTCAGTTGCAAGTTCGATTGTGGTCTGCTAGGATAATGGGATAGCTCTCAGTAGCCAGTTGGATTATAGTCTTCTAGATTTGTGGGAAACCTCAGTCAGTTGCAAGGTCGATTGTGGTCTGCTAGGATAATGGAGTAGCTCTCGGTAGCCAGTTGGATTATAGTCAGCTAGATTTAAGTGGGAAAGCTCAGTAAGTGTAACAAGTTGGATTGTGGTCTGCTAGGTTAGTGGGATAAATCAATCAGTAGCAAGTTGGATAGTTGGGTGCTCTTAAAAGTAAATTGGATTATCGTCTACTGGCATTTGAATTCCAAGCCCCTTCAAGACACAAACAAGTTTTGATGCCACTACCACTGATAAAAATAATTAAGTGGAAATTTAAGTTCTATAAAAATAAAATAAGATTTGAATGGAATCAATTACCTGTGATTTGACGTCAAAATGTTCTACTCAGTGCCAAAAATGCAATTTCAAATAATCAGTAGATGTATTTTCAATGAACACTGGTATAGACTATTAAATTTTAGTAGAATCTGGTATTTCTAAGGTCCCATGTTTGACAAACTGTACACTTCAAGGTTTTGAAAGTGAAGAAGAGCAAACACTACTGTTACACAGCTGTCATGAAAGCAAAACTAAAATAGGGTTGCAATTCAGTTTTGTACTAGGGTGTAAATACAGATAATGACGTAAATCCAATGTAATCTTTGTTTATGTAGTAAAATATGAATATGGCTTCAAGCTAGCAATAGTGAGTTTCCACTGGGTAAATTGTCAAACCATTAAGGTTCGGGAACCGAAAACCTCTTTTTTTGTGTTCGTCAATTTATTGCCTACACACAGGGATACAGCTGTATTAATCCCATAAATGCTAAATTAAAATGAATCATAATAATCATAACATATTTTTTAGAGACTTTTTTTTTTCAAAATTGATACCATTGTTGTTTTTATTTGTCTGCTTGGATTCCTCAACAGTTGGAAATTTTCCTCATTGCACACTTAGTATGATTTATTTATTTGTATATTTTTAGGAGCTGGACTCCGACCAAACAGGAACAGTAAAGAGAAGAAATAAAACAGTCGTCACCCCCAAGATGGCCATGGAAAGTTTCCGATTTTCATTCCTCAATGATGAAGGTAAGCTAATTTTAAATTTTCAAACTATTACTAATACTTTCTCTAGTTGGTTTAGCAAATCAGCTCCCTTTACCAATTTACAAGTAACTATTTTCCATTCCTTTGAATTGTCTAGGTAACCAAAAAGTAAATACTATTGATTTGTCAAGTTTGACATCCCTGTTATCAAAATTCATAATATTTTGATGGTGCTTTTGTTAAGAGAATTAGACTAGCTAACATTGTGTACCATATTATTGAAAAACCTTACATGAAGGGAGGTAACTCAATTAGCACATGTCAAGTCAATCATGGCAATATAATGAATGGAACAAAGTAGAATTAAGAACAAGGATTCTGTACTTGATGTGTTACTTGAGCTAATTAGAATCTAAAGTTACCCTGCAAATAGTTTAACATCTGACAATTCTAGGTCGTTCAGTCAAGGTCAAAATCTGCAGCTTGATTTAGCTTAAGCCATGTTGTGATGAATTATGAGGTGTACTTACAATTTTTACCCAACAATCTGTTGCAGAACTGGAATTCATTTCTATTCCTTGGTTTTAAAAGGGGTTTAAGTCCATAGATTTTAATAAGATACAAACTTTAGCTACACTGTGTTGTTTTACCCTAATATCAATGAAAATGGCATTTAGAAAATGAATATCTTTTTACCAATGCTTCTCAACTTATATCTTTAACCCTTTCAACCCTATCGGTGGCTTTACTGGCTACATAATTATGCAATATATACCCAAGCAGCCAATATAGTGGCTGTTACCATGTGCCATCATTCAGTGTTAATGTCATACACTCTTATTGTTCAGGGTATGCTGTGCACAAACCTATAAATGCGTGTGTGGTTCGACTTTTATTACATACTTTTATTTCGTTTACTGGTACCTTATCATATTGAATTTACCAATAAACTTCTTCAAACAAAACAAATAATTCATAGTATTTTTAAATTTGACCTTATTTGTGGGATTCCCCCTCAAATGTGATGTTTACAAACATAGACCTACTGATTTTTAATACCGGTATTACATGTAAGCCTACCAGTACTATTTAATTTAGAGGGCTGGGTTATTCTAGCATCCCTGTTTTCAAACATCACTTCATCTTGACATTATTTTTTTTTAATCAAAACTAATGAATGACAATATTCAATTTTTTGGGCTCCTAAATATGAAATCAGCGGGACTATTTTTAGTTTTCCTTGGTAGCTCTAACCTATAGATTTGTTAATTTTTCCTGTGTCATGTAGGTCTATGATAAATAATTAAATTACACAGTTTAAGGTTTACTTAAAAAAAAAAGAAAATAAAAGCACTTTGGAGGTTAATTCATAAATTTACGTGCTTTTCACTCAATCTCCAGATTTTTTTTCCTGACCTGTACAGATATATGTATAAAAAACTTACCTGTCTTTATAATTTCAGAAAATCAAGATATTAATTTTGATGCCATATTAGGAGAATTATGTGAACTTGAAACACAACTGAGCACAACTCAAACAGAACTCTCCAATAAGTTAAATTTTCCACCAGGAATGGTGAGCGTTGCTAGGGAAGAATCTAAAGATGGAAACAATGACATGATACAGGCAGAACTGGATGCCTTGGCAGCAGAAATTACACAGGGACTAGGATGTAGCCGAATTACACATTTCTCCTTACACGGAAACATGTCTTCCCGAGAGTGTTACGATGCTGGTGAAACTGACTCAGCCTTTTCTGATAACGCTTCCCTTCCCTCATCAGAATCTTTCACTTCCATGGCAACTGTTTCGTCGTCCACGGATACACATTCATCATCATCAGGAGATACATGTAGCACCATGTCATATTTAGCTGTCCAATCAGAGGTAGGAGAAGTTTAATTTATTTGTTTTTCAGAAATTGTGATATATTATGTGAAATTGCATGTCGCTACGCTCATGTTTGCCAAAGAATCTTATGATAGAAATATGTAAATGGAATATCTAACACTGAAAAAAATGCACACATGGAACAAATTTATAGTTTGATTTTTTTTAACAAACAGGATCAGAACTTTAAAATTATGTTTATTACTTGCTGCTCATAGAAACTTTTC